TCATATCAGATACACGCTATAACATAGGCTGCAAGATTAGAACCCCCCCCCAATATGTCCCTAAGGACTCATTTCCTTAGTCTTTTCTGACAAAAAGCTGCCTTTACAATCCTTGACATGGCTGATTATTTCAGTATTTTTCAATAGTTACTCTTTTTCTATTCAGGTAGCCCTTTATGAGGAGTAATTTAAATATGCCAATTAGATTATTTCCTTAAATAAGCTAAGAAAGGTAATGAGATGTCTTGCTCATTATAAAACTATTCAACCCTGCAACAAAAGTAGAATGACATTTTAAGGATTAGAATATATATTTTCAAGGAATCAGCAGAGAAACTCAAATGCAAATGAGATGCCAAAGAATTTGTTCAAAAGTTGATAAAGTTTAAATATACCACTTTAACTGCCCATTGGGAAAACATTTTGTAATGTTTCTGTGAAATGATAAATTAAAGAATCCTGAATTAGAGCCATTTAAAGGGTACCTCTTGTCATCTTTAGATTGAATTTAAAAGAATTGAAATTTTGATAAAACATTAATGAAATATATAGCAATGATAAAAATGAAGAAATCAGCAAAAATTATTCTGACATCAAGAAACAAACAGTAACTTTTTTTAAGATTATACCAACAGCAGTAAGTGATTAAGAGAAAGATAAAAATTTAAATGAAAGCAAGGACTGGTGTCTTGGACAACTTGAAAGTGAAATTAATAAAAAAGTAAAATATCTGAACACATTTAAAAAGATTAAAAATCTTGCCAAATTGACAAAAATTATTGGCATTGCTACCAAGCATAATCTCCATTTTAAGAAACTTGAATGATAGCTTGTATATAAAAGAAACTTGGGAAAGAATTTCCCAACATCGATAGCAATCCCAAAAACATACATGGCATTACTAGTAATAAAATACATTTGTATCACCCATGCTTGAATACAGACTAAATCATCTTTATGCTCTCTGTATAGAAAGTTTCATTACAAAATCATTGTCACATAAAGAGGCTGTCAAAGTAGCAGGAAAAAAAAAAGCAGGGGAAAAAAATTTCATCTTGGTGATCTTGATATAGATCTTTAGTAAATAAAATTTCTCAGTTTTTTCTGGATTTTGTTATTTTTGTCATCTTTTAAAGTTAGGAATTTGTTGCAACTCCTTTTCTCTTCCAAACAAATATTCACCTCTTACCTAGTAATGCATTTTAATTATATACACACACACACAACATTGTGCATACCTATATATGTATATATACATATATAATTATATATAATAAATACACATCTATAATAAATGTATGCTATTCTAAGTTATAAAGTAATAATGTCTGTGATTCAGATAATTAAAAAATAAGATCTGAGAATAAATGAAACCTAGATTCACTTCCCCTAAACTTTCTACTCCAGGATGTTCAACCCCATAGAACAGATTCACTGCCACAATGAAGTCTTGTTAGGGAACTTGATTTGGGGACAGGCAGCTCTGAATGGGGCTGAGCCAATGCACAGAGGAAATGAGTTTGTAATTCCTGGTAGCATCTGAGGGTGCATCTGAGCAAGTGGCAAAGGCAACCCAAGAGCAACCAGAAATCAGTGTATTCTCAAACATGCATCTCTTTGAAGATGTTTTCACTTCAAGAATTCCTGCCCTATATTTTTAAATGTAGAAATATGTGTTTGGCTTTAAGAGAGAAAGCAAAGCCCAAGTGTTTTCCCCTCACCACTCCCAATTCCCACTGACACAACAGCAAAGATATGCAGACAGGAATAAACCTGTTACTGCACTGATAATAAATTGGAAACCATGAGTTGACTCAGACACATTGATGAATTTCCACAGGCAAGGAAGGGGAGAGGAGTATATCACAGAACAAATCAGACTGCAGGGAGCTGTAGCCCAGACCACACAGAGAAGGCCGGAGGCCTGGGGAACTGTTCTGCTGGCAACGCCTCTGAGTCTTCAAATGGTGATCAAGATAAATAGAGGAGAGAGTCTGAGACACCTGGGATGTATCTTATACACCCCCTTCACACAGAGATGAGCAGCAGTTAATATCTGCTCCCATACTGAAGTCTCAAACTTCTCTAATGAAATTACATGATCTGCCTGGGAAAAAAAAAAAAAAGGATTCCAAGTGTGGGTGTTGGGGCCATTGGGTAAAGTCCTGGTGATTTTGACCCTAAGGGGAGGAGGAGCCTTCCCTATTGCCCCCTGTACATACACCATGAAATAAAACCTCCCCACATTCACACACAGAGAACTTCTGTCTGGTTAGCTATTGCTGCTTAACAACTCATCCCCCATGTATTATGACTTAAAAGATGAATCATTTTACCTTATCTCATAATTATTGGCTCTTTAATTTAAGTAGGGCTCAACTGGACACTTTTTCTGTTCCATGGTGACATTGACTGAGGTCACTTGGTGGTGTTCAGATGGGTATTCACTGATGTGTGGCATAGCCAGAAGCCTATACTCTGCTGAGGGTGTCCACTAGCACCTACATGTGACCTTTCCAACATAGAAGAATCGGAGAAGCTGGACTTCTTCAGTCACTCGGAGTTCCAAGATCTTGTCCTAAGAGACCCCCAGGCTCTCCAGGCACCTCTCCAGAAACTAATACATCAGCATGTCCACTGCATTCTGTTGGCTAGGCCATCTGTAAGTCCATCCATATGTTGGGAGATATATAAACCTTATGTCACATTCTAGTGAGGGTAGGGGAGACAAAAATAAACTAAATTACTAAATAAATATCCTATGAGGAAGTGATTTCATTTACAGAGAAAAGGCAATTAAAGTGTCAGAAGGTGGGGGGCTGCTGTTTATACAGGTTTGTTCATGGAAGTCCTCACTGGCCAGGTGGCTTTTAAGCAGAAGCATGAAAGAACTGAGGAAAGAATTGTGTGGATTTTGGCTTTTACTTTGGGAACAAGAAAAATTGGAGAATTTCAGTAGTGTGTTAATATGATCTGACTTAAATTTTGAAGAAATAACCTTAGTGCTGTATGAATAACAGACCAAAGGGTAAATGAAAAGGAAAGTGGAGCTACTAACAAATAAGTTATTTTAATAAAGTCAATAAATTATGGTGGCTTGACCTGGATGATACAGCAGTGGATGTATTAAGTGGTCAATTCTGTAGAGATACTCAATGGCAGTAACATACCTGCAAATGTATTTTTCAATAAATTCAAGTATTTTATCTTATATATCAATATCAAATCTACAGGTTATGATTGATAAGAAATCAAAAATCATTTTTTCTTTCTTTTTAAAGTATAACTTCCATTCATTGAAGTATACAAATCATAAATAAAAGTTGATTAATTTTCATATCTGTAATGCTGACATAACCAACCAGAATCACTCCTGGCCCCTCCCTGTCAATGTTCTTCCCAGAGATAACCTCTAATCTCACCTCTATACTATCGATTAGTTTTGTCTGTTTATGCATTCATATAAATGGGATAATATAGAATATATCCTTGCAAGCACCAAGTTCAGGAGGTAGAGTAGAAACATGTGCCCCACTAGTCCATGGAGTCACCATACTAACCCTAACTTTATTTTATGTGGGGGAAAAAAAACCCTCCTTCTTTTTCATATACTTTTTTTTTTAATTCATAGCAGTTTTATTCAAAATCACCAAAAAACTGGAAACAACCCAAAATATCCATCAACAGGTTAATATAAAACAAACTGTAGGGCATTCATCTAATGGAATACTACTTAGCCACGAAAAGCCACATGTATGAATCTCAAAAGCATAGAGGTTATATCCTCTATGAATCCGTGTCTACGACATTCTGGAAAAGGCAAATCCATAAAGATGGAGAACATTTTCTACCAGATGGTAGAAGTGATAGTTTGACTATACAGGGATATATATGGGAATTGTTGGGGTGATGGAACTGCTGAATCTTGACTATGGAAGTAGTTCTACAAATGTGTTACAACACATAGAATTATACATATGAGAAACTCAATGGTATGTCAATTAAACAATTTTTTAAATGGAAACAAAATATACTCAAATAACTTTTTCCTTAAAACTGCTCTAAAAGAAAGCTTCCGTGTGGGTTTGTTCCAGGAAGGCTGTTTTGTGGTGGCTCTGCCACACCAGCCCTAGTGTTTGTGGATCTGTACATTCATCTGTAAGATGAGAGGCTCAGTCTACAGCAGTGATTTTCCTTCTCCCTCTACCCTAAAAGTGTATCCTTTTGTGGAAGAGGGGGTGAGGTTTTTATTTGGAGAGAGGGCATTTGGCCTCCACTGGACTCTGGACCCACAAACAGTTGTGCTTTTGTGTGTTTCATGTACTATCTGGAATAGAACGGGTCTTTAGCCAGATCCTGAGACACCTGGGGGGTGTGAACAATCCTGGATTCAGGGCCTGCTAGTGGCACCCACGTACTTGTCCCTTTGGCACATGCCCCTCCCCAGTGGTGAGTCAGCCGGGGCGGGCGGGCTGGCTCTAACGGTCAGCAATCTAAAGGAGGCCTTTTGTGGGAAGCTATAATTGTGCTCCTTGCTCTCCAGGGGAAACACTGCAAAAATACAATGGGGATTCCAGAAAGGCTTTGAAGTTTAGGCCCCCCTCTGAGGTAGGGTCTGAAAGAACTGAAACCATTTTTTTCCCACGGATGCCTTTTTGGAAGAGCACTTTGTAAAGAACAAAAGGCTGTGCATGGGTGGGGAAAATACTGTTATGAGGAAGACTATGCTGACCTGGACCAACGGGGCTACGCCTCATTCATGAGCTGCCTGCCCCATGCCAGGCACCCTGCTAAGGCATCGCTGATCTTCACGACAATGCTGTGAGAAAAGGGCCTCCTTGCTTGGACAGATGAGGGAACTGAGGCTCCAGGAGGGATCAGAGACAGAGTGACAAGCCTAGGCTCCAGTCCACAGCTCCAATCTTCCAAGTCAAGGTCTGTGAGACGAACTCCAGGCCTGCTTGTAGGCCTGTTCCCCATATGTGCCCGGAAGAGACGACGGAAGCCACCCTTCATCAGACTGCTAGGGAAATGGCAGTGGTGCTTTGAGGCCTTACCATGTAGAACAACACTCGAAAAAGGAGTTTTAAAAAAATTTTATACAGTGGAATGTTTTCTTTGAAAACTATTTTATGCCTAAATTCATTGTAGAAAACCAGAGTTGGGACCCTGTGGTTGAACATAGAAGCAGGGCTGGCCTGCCCCCCCCCCACCCCTGCTCCTGGAGCACCGCTTGAAGGCTACTTATCCAGTAGGCTGGCACTAACTGTGAGGACCACAGGAGATGCCATGACACTTAAGGCTCCAGCTCTGGGTTCGGAAAGAATAAGTAGAGATTGAGGCAGACTTGTTCCTAGGTTAGCCGGCCGAGGGGAGGGCGGCAGGGGTGCTGGGCCACTTGACCCGGGGAACCACCTGCCTCACCCTCCTCTCTAGCCAGCAGTCATAACCTGTCATTCATAACACAGGAGGCTGCTGTCTTCACCATCTTACACTTAGAAAGTTTAATCTTCAAAAATATGGATTACAAGGTTAAACCCTGTAGAGCTCGTCCTTCTTTCTTCCCCTTATGAAAGGCATAATCTGTTTTTTCTGCATCAACAAAAGCAGAATGCTCAAGTTAAGATCTAGGTGTGGGGTCAAGGGCAGATCTGTCCCTCTGACTCCAGTGCAGGAGGTGGCAGGAGGGTTCACAGTGGAATCATCAAACGGACCTCCTTCTCATAGATGTCAGGGATCACTCCCATAGGGGGAGTTGACCATGTGCACGGTGTTCTTGCCAAACAGCTGGAACTCATAGTAGATGAGCTGCTCCCAAAAGCCACTGTTGGGCCGGATGATGGGCCGGCATGACTTGGTCCATGTATGGGCATCTAGCAGGGACATGGCATGGTACTTCATGCGGTAGGCGAGGCATAGGGCGGCCGAGCGGCTCACCCCAGCAGCACAGTGCAGCAGTGTGCGGCCCTGCTTCATCTCCACACTGTGGATGTGGTCGGCGATGGGGTCAAAGAAGTCACAGAGACGCGAGATGGGCGTGTCAGCCACAGGCACCTGCAAATACTGGATGTCCTCATATAAGGTGTTCACCACCTCCACCGAGACGTTAATAACAGTGGTGATGTGGTTACTGGAGAGCATAAGCTTGTTGTTGGCAGCTATCCCATTGCTGATATACGGGCTGCCGGTGATCTTGGAGAGGCCACTGACCGAAGGCTGCCGGAACTGGACCGGGAAGGCACACGTGGCTGATGTCATCAGGCCAGTGGGTCAGCAGCCAGTGAGGCATAAAGACGGCATCTTTCTGCTAGGTTGTGTCCACAGAAAAACTGCCCTGCGATCGCACCTGGGCGCAGCATTCCGGGCGGGAAGGTCGGGTAGGCTGCGCGCTCCGCCGCCTGAGTCCGCCGGCCTGGCCCGTCTCCAAGGCAACGCGCGCGCCGCACCATGGCGACCGCCGAGGGACCATCCTGCGGCGGCTCCGGGTCCCGCCTTTCATATACTTTTAATGTTCCATTTTTCTACTATAAGCAGCAAAATCTAATTCTTATGGACACAGTCGATTTAAGTAAGAATGGAAGGAATATGGATAATACCTTTGAAAAAGTCTTCTCTGTAAGAGTTTGTTTTTCATTTTGGGAAAATCTTACACCATGTTTATGATGATGAGAAAAAATCAATAAAGAAAAAAGTAATTGATTAAAAAAACGGGGAATTATTGAAGGATTATCCTTGCTTAAGAGAAGTGATCCAGCATGGACCTTGACATGTGGTATTTAGAGATGCATATGTTTTGACTTAATCACAGAGAAATTTGTACCCATTGGATGAGCTAAACTATTTAAATTATGTGATTTTTTTTTTTTACCAAGAGTTTTCTGGAAAATTCCATATATTAAAAATAGTTTGGGGGCCTCCCTGGTGGCGCAAGGGGTTAAGACTTAGCACTGTGGGCCTCTCCATAGCCACTGCAGCACGAGTTTGATCCCTAGCTGGCCCCACATGGCGCAGCAGACCTCTCCTGACTCGCCCGCTGCTCAGCAGTGTATTTCAATCAGTCTGCCCGTGCTGTTCCCCACTCTGTCTCTGGTGAATCCTCTCACCCCCCGTATCTCTGGCCTATACCCCAGCTCTTGTATGCATAAATAAATAAATAAATCTTTTAAAAAAAATAGTTTTTATTCATGCTTTTAACTTTGAGTAAATAGTTAACTGTTTTACAGACCTTAACACAAAGTCACATTGTTTTGCTTTGTTTTGTTTTTGAATTAGTAAAGAAAATGGCATAATTTATATTAGTTGAGATTATATGTATGATCAAAAGATGGCCAGGAGTCTAAATTAAAAGAACAAATGTACTAAATGGTATAAATCATCTGGCAAATAAAGATGTAAGACCCAGAAATCTGATAAAGCATGTTAAGAAAAATTCTGTTTTTTTTCCAAATCCTCTGTTAAAATGGAATTTTTAAACCCACAGATGTTTAGAGGAAATAAAAATATACTTTCATGTTTGATGAAACTGCTGCAATTCCAAATATATAAATCCACTCACAGCATTAATTAAAGTTCAATTTTTTTTCTCTCTCTGATGTGAGTAGCTTAGTGTTTTCACCTGATTGAAGCATTGCTTTTTCAAAACCCTATAATTCCAGATAAGCTGTAGGACTGTTTTAAATAGATACTTTATTTTCAGAGGGAGTAGTTTGTGGAGAAATACCTAGTGTTCCACTTGAAACCTGTTAACTTTGAGGTGCCTACTAGGTACCCCAATGAGATATTAAGTAATAATCTGGAGATACAGGCCTGGAGTTCAGCAGTAATGATCTGAACCAGAGGTAGAATCTTGAAAGTTATCAGCATGTAGTATAAAGCCATAAAAATAGATAAAATCATCTAGGGATTGAGTGTATCAAAAAAAATTTTTTTAACTGATCCATACACTAAATACCAAGGCATAACACTTAGAAGTTAAGGGGAATGAGAAAAAGGTGAGCTAAGGAGACAGAAGGAATAGCTGGGGCAGTGGGAAGAAAACAAGAACAGCATCCTGAAGACCCTGAGTGGAAAGTGCCCAAGAAGAGATTTCTCTGTCTTGTCCGAAGGGATGGCAGTGGAGAAGTGACACTGGACTGTAAAGAGTAGAGGTCAGTACTGATCTTGGAAAAATTATTCAGTGAAGGGTGGGAGTGAATCTGTTGGGAAGGCATCCGTGTTCACCACTGTATCTGTCTGTAGAAGGTTCAAGAGAAACCAAAAGAGGAAAAAAAAAAAAAAGAAAGAAACCAAAAGAGGTATTAAAGACAGCAAGAATAGACAGCTCTTTCTAAAGTTTTAATGCAAATGGAGAAAGAAATTGGGTGATGAGGTTGAGGGAGTTTGGTTTGTTTGTTTGTTTGTTTGTTTTAAAATGAGAGACATAACAGGATATTGCTACACTTACGGGACCAACCAAGAAGAGAGGGAAATGTTGATGAAGGAGAGAGATGGGAAATATACTAAAGGGATGTAAGTGAGAAAGAATGACTGTTGCACAGGAAGAAATCTTGAAATTAGACGAGAACATCTACAGTTTATCCACAATGACCAAAATAAAAAGAATATATGGACACCAAAGTAAGTAGAGTTAGATATGGTGGTGGGAGTTTGTGGAAGCTCTTTCTAATATTTTCACTGTCCTTTATTCAGTATTATCACCTGAGTAATGGGAAGAAAATATGAGATGTTTAAGGAAAGTAAAAGAGTAAAAAAAAAAAAAATGTTTAGGAAAAAAAATAAACCCAGAAAATATGATGCAATGACCCAGCAGTTTTAAAGGACCACTCGAGGTCTGCAGCCATCAGAGTAAATAGGATGAAGTGAGCGTCCTCGTGTGTTGTGCTACTGACATTCTCAGCTGGGGGTCCAGCCTGGAGGGAGTTTCATCAGAGGCTTTACTGAGCAGTATGAGAAACAGAAGGAGGTCGAAGAGTTGAGGGCATGTGCAAGGAAATAATCAAACTTAGGTCACAAGGGAAGGGAAGACATGAGCAGGGTGATGGAGAATGTAAAGATGGTAACATCAGTGAACTGAAAGTTCAAGTGGAGACTAGGTTTTTTAAAGTCAGGTACTGGAGGGATGAGCAGGAAAGATGGTAGCAGAGTTGGAGAGTGCTTAAGTTTGACATATTGGAGGAGATGCTGTTTTGGACAAAATCAAGTCTTACCATGAAAGTAAGTGCCCAGCATGAAAGAGATGTTAGGATCACAAGTCCAGGGAATTAGAAGGATCTCTGTTTAAATCACAAAGAGGAGGAGAGGAGAAGGAACACGAACATTGGAAAGAATGACAGTGAACTGGAAGCCAACACCTTCATCAAAGTGACCTGAACAGCCACAGATCATGGCAATAAGCATTGGAAATTATTGAGTCATTTTATAGTTTAATGACATGAGATGTAGGAAGGTGGAGACAGAATGGGCAGAAGCACAATTAGGGGAAGTGCACTTGCCTATCTGTAAGGCCCAGAGGTGTGAGAACTATGGGAGAGGAAAGAGCCAACCCTTGATTTACAGAGGAAGCAGTGTCCTGAGTCTCACCAGGACTGCTTCGTTGTGTTGAGAATGGATTGAAAGAGGGCAAAGGGTAGAAGTAGAACAAGAAGTCAGGAGACTCTTGCAACAATGTAGGCAAAAGATGCTAGTGGATAATAATAAAGGTGTGAATGAATAATCAATATCTTTAAATATATATTTTTTAATAAATTTTTTTAAAGATTTATTTATTTATTTATCCAAGCACTGGGTACAGTCAGAAGCGCAGGAGGGTGAGAGAATTTACCAGAGCCAGAGGAGGGAGCAGAGCAGGCAGAAGGACCGAAGTACACTGCTTGAGGGGAGCAGCGGGCGGCAAGAGAGGTCTGTGCGCCATGTGGGACCCTCCTCCGGTTGCCAGGGAGCAGCCGGGGATGGAACTGGTGCTGCAGAGGCTGCGGGCAGCTTTGCAACCCAGCGCTCAACCGCTGTGCCACCGGGTAGGCCCAAGTATTTTAAGTATTTATTTTTAAATATGTATTTCATTGCTCCATTTGATTTTAAGATCCCACTATTTTTTTTAAAGATTGATTGATTGACTGATTGATTTATACAAGCACTGGGTATAGTCAGAAGAGCGGGAGGGTAAGAGAATTCACCAGAGTCAGAGAGGAGAGTAGACCAGGCAGACTGACCAAGTACACTGCTGAGGGGAGCAGCGGGCAGCAGGAGAGGTCTGCGCGCCATGCGGGACCCTCCTCCAGTGACCAGCGAGCAGCCGGGGATCGAACCAGCGCTGCAGAGGCTGCGGGCATCTTCGCAACCCAGCGCTCAACCGCTGCGCCACCAGGGAGGCCCAAGATCCCCACTATTGTATATACCACTAAGAAAGAAAATAATGCTGCCAATTAAACAGTTAAGTCATTTCTTGTCATTCCAATTTTAAGATACACCCAAACTTCTGTGATATTAAAATATGCATCTAAGGACTGATGAGATATGGTATATTGGTTGAATATGCTACCGTACTGAGGCGTAAATTCTCTGCAAAAGTTGAGAATAATGCAAAAAAAAAATTGAGAACCCATGTTCAGCATCCTAGAGAGCTTGCTAGAGAAATTCCCCAATGGCTTGAGGAAACGCAAGACTGTGTTCCTGTTAACTGACCTTCACTGGACACATTTTGCCACCTATTTAGTAATTGGTTCCTGTCTAGGAACAACTTCATGCTGCTTGGTAGGTCTTAATTAATAGCCACAGAGCAATTTACTTATCATTTGCATCTCCATATCCTATTATTTCCAGTTAATGGTTCATGTCTGGTCGTTGTGGAGAGGTGGCTTAAAATCATCCACTCTGCAAATTTATCCCTGTCGCTGATGAATATTGCATATGGTCACAGGAAGTGTAACAGCAAAACATCAGTGACGCTGAGTTAAGAAGCCTGATGCTTGGAAGCCCCTTTTTTCTCTGCTATTTCAAACTGGCTTGTCTTCCTCAGCAGATCATAATCCTGACTGCACCTTAGAAGCTCTTCAGGATGCTCTTTGAAAATACTTGTTCCTGGACTCCATCCCACACCAGTTAGATGAAAATCCCTAGGTGTGAGCGCCAGCCTTCCGTATTTTTATAATTTCCCAAGTGATTCAACTATACAACTAACATTGAGGACCATGGGTGCTTAGCAGTTTCCTCATTCATAAATAATAAACTTATTTTCCTTATTAATAAGTAATAAACTTTGATGAGCTGAGGTCACTCATCTATAAAATAATGCTTTAAAGTATAAAGTATTCTATGCATATATAGCAGGCATCAGAAAAACATATGGAATGAATTGGAAAGTTACACATAATGA